TGGGTGTGTTTCTTAGATTGAACTGTTTTCCTAAAGCTCTCCATCTAAGCTCTAAATATCTTACTACCAGTTCTGCAAATGTACCTGCCTCCAGCTACAGCCATAAACAGCCAGAGACACGCTGACAACCGTGCTCCTTGTTTCTAGCATGCATTCTCCTTTTCCTTTAATTCTCCTCCCCCTAAAGTGAGGTTAGGTAGTTTAAACTTTAATCAGTTAGATCAGTTGTTTTTAATGGGAATTTAAATTGAACCAGAGACAGAAAGCATTAAGGGCTGCTGAGTGGCTGAGCTGGGACCTCACGGAGGCATTTCCCGTGGCTCTGAGGCAAGAGATATTGGGTGCTGTGGTGATGCTCAGTGCAAGACCCTTTTAGCTCTGTCTGAAGAAATCAGTCAGTGATAAGGCTTGGGAATATATTTTTTTTATCTCAACGTGTTAATTCAAAGAAGGAAAGTGTTTTAGGAAATGACCTTCACCCAGGTCTTAGGTCAGTGGGATTCTTGGGTCACCTCCTGTGTGATGATGTCACCTTCACCCAGGCCTAGATAACCAAAGTAAGTGAGGGAACGGTGTGCCTGTTGGAAGAGGCCCATCCCTCTCTGTGTACCACTTCCTACTGTGGGTCTTCTCCTGAGTTAGGGAAAAGAGGGCAGGACATCCTTCATTTAAAAAGCCTCGGCCCCTTTTTTTAACCTAATAAATACCAGTGTACAGTGTATATTGGAAGGAAGGTGATCCTTTGAATGCCTTGATGTCAAGAACTAAGCTTTCTGGTGTGGTGGTGGGATACAAGCTTTGGAGTCTTGGACAGGCTGAGTTTTGTTTATTAGCAATTGTATCTATTTTAAATGTTTATGTCTTAATTATGAAATATACCAAATATACTGTTGTTTTTTTAAAATAAGACATTGTCTTAGTCCATTTTCTATTGCTATAACCAAGTGTCTGAGACTGATTAATTTATAGAGGACAGAATTTTATTTGGCTCGCAGTTCTGGAGGCTGAGAAGTCTTTAGAGCAGTGCCTGGCATCTGCCTGGGGTTCACTGAGGGCCTTCTTGTTACCTTGTAGCATGGAGGGCATTACTTGGTGAGTCAGATCGAGTATGCAAATTAGGTCTCTCTTCCCCTTATAAAGTCTCTTAATCATGGGGACCCTACCCTTATGACCTTATGTAATCCTAATTACTTTCAAAGGCCCGCCTTCAAATACCATTAACATATGAATTTGCCACACATGGACTTTTAGGAAAGGAGACCCATTGAAATCATAGTAGACATCTGGGTATCACTCAGCTTTATAGATGTTAGCATCTTGCAATATCTTTTAACACATAAGTGATATATTACAAGTAGCACTGAAACTCTAGCTACTTTGCCAAACCATCTCTCCTTCGTAATCAGTATCTAGAAGTTTTTATGTCATCCTCATACATATTTTTGTACTTCAGCTACAAATGTCCACATGTATAAACATCATCCATATGCATAATATTGCTTTGCATGGTTAAAAAAAATTTGCACAAGCATTAAGCCATACAAATTTTTTGCAGTGAGTCCCAACACTGCTGCTTACTTGCAGAAACCATGGACTAATTGTCCCTTTTTGAGCCCAGAGATGTGTGTGAAGGTACTGATAGGTTTAGTACTGGCGCAAGCCAGATGAGCAAGGATCCAAGGCCAGAAGAGGAAGAGACCAACTTGATATTGTAGAGGTAGTATCAACGGGATTTTGTTCTTATTTAATGCATGTACTTGGTGGTTTGGGAAGTACAGGATCAATAAGTGTGATTCTCATCCAGGTGGCTGGTGGGGATATTGATACCACTTGCTGAGCTCAGGAGCAGAGAAGGGGATGCTGCTTGGGTATGGTGGCACCCACTTAGAAGTGGCTGCAGCATCCCAGGTGGAAAATTTCAGAAGACATTTCGTTACTTGGACTCAAAATTCAGGAGAGAGATCTGAGCTATAAATGCCTCACTGAGTTCCTTTAGCATCCAGGGACTGTTTGCCCTGGGAGTGTGTATGGCTTGACTCAAGAGGCATCAGTGGCACTTTTACCTGGAATACATAGCATGGTTCAGCTTCACCAGATTTCTGCATAACAGAGCTGAGGTAGTTATCTAATTCCCATGTCAACTTCAAAGGTTAGAGTCATGCTTGAAACAGTTTTCCTTCTGACCACCTGTTGGGATTTCCTTGTTTGTGAGATTATATAAATACTCTCTGAAAGTAATTTCTGCCTGTCGACTTTACCATACCTAAATGTTAATAAGTCCATAGACTTTATTAGCTTTTATGGAGATCTGTCTGCCAGAACTTGAGCCCTGACCTTTTCTAGGATTTGATGGCCAAATGTGTGAATCTAGTATATGGTTCCTTTCTTTTTTTTTTGAGTCAGGGTCTCACTATGTAGTTGAGACTGACCTGGGACTCACTATAGCCCAGGCTGGTCTCAAATTCACAGCGATCCTCCTGCCTCAACCTTCCGAGTGCTGGGATTACAGTATGGTTCCTTAGGCATTTAGTCTGGGATCCTAATCTTGATTTTGTCTGCAGTGAATGTTTGTAGGATGGGAAGCAGATGGAGCTTTTGCTGTTTTGTCTGTAGCTCACCCTAGACCTCAGTTAGGGCCTGTGGTCCATCCTCACTACTTAGCTGCTAACTTTTAGCAGGAAGTGTCCCCTTTTACCTCACAGAGAGGCACCTGTCCTTACCCTAAGTCCCTGCTTCAAAACCAGCATGACTCCTGAGAGGCCTTCTTTTGGAATTCACACAGCTAGCTCAAGTAAAAGTGTGAGGTGCTGTCTGGGAAAAGCTCGGGTACCTACTGTTCCTGTGGGGAATCCACAAAGACCCAAGGGATTTAGGATAGGAAACAGTTGCCGGTTGGTGGGCACCAGTGCAGGTTTGCCTTTCTGTTTTTTCATTCTCGTCTTCTCTTCGCCTTCTTCCCGTCCCCTCTCCTTCTCTCTGTCTCTCTGTCTCATCATGCCCACAGGAATGCCGTCTGCATTGCTGCCAGGTCTAGATTCCTGTCATGATCGTCTGTCTCTCTGCCTTCTCCTGCCTTCCTTTCAGCTCCTATTTGGTTCTTTTCCTACCCCTGCATCTGGCAGCTGACCTCCTCAGAGCCTTATTCCCTGGCCCATAATTACACAGACTCCAACACCAAATGATCTCTTTGCTCTTAATGCCCGTAGTCACTGGCTCTGTGTACAGGATTCTAACTGCTAGGAGGACCTGGTGGACTCCTTTGTCTCCCTCAGCCTACTATACCATTCCCAGGTTGCTGGTGGCCTAGGACTGGGTCCTCTCTGGTTAGACCCACTCTGGGCCAGGGGAGAGGCCAAAGTTACAGAGTCTCCTGCCTGCTTAGCTAGGGTATTGAGGAAGAGGGACTTGCAGAAGTTGTCAGACACCTTTAACACAAGAACTATATTCTAAGCCAGGCGTGGTGGCACAGGCCTGTAATCCCAGCACTCAGAAGGCTGAGGCAGGAGAATCACTGTGAGTTCGAGAGCAGCCAGGGCTACATAGTGAGTTCCAGGTCAGTCTCAACTACAGAGTGAGACCCTATCTCCAAAAAAAAAAAAAAAAAAAAAAAAACTACAATCTAGAACTTTTCTAATTAATTAACTATTCAAATGTGGCTCAAGCTTCAAGTAGGAAGTCATTTTATATGCACTATTTCTTATTACACTGCTTATTCCAGAGTCTGTACCTCTGAAGAACTGAGTTCAGCATCTTGCAGCCATATCAGATGAGACATGGAATTACACTTTCAGTTCAAGTGTTCATTGTATTCATAGATTAGGCTGCAGGGAGGAGCTTGCTTGAGCCAACAAGTCATCCTAATGCATAAAATAAAGAAATGGGGGTTGCTAGTTTTCTGCTCATGAAGACTTCTCAAGTCATGATTTGAAAGATCTTTCCCCAAAATTAGAAGTCCTGTGTAACAGCCACCAGGGCACTCAGTGGCAGAGGGAAGATCATGACCCACCGCATCGGGCCTGTTCCCCTTCCCTGTACGGTGTTGCCAGCCCCCATGTTCTTCGATTCCTAAGTCACAGAACCAGCTATGACTAGATTTGCCTACTGTCTGAAAAGAGTGTATAATGTGGAAACCTCATCCTACTCTGATGCAACTGAAAACCATTATAGAACTAGAGTGTTTCAAATGGTGGGAAGGAGGTCCCACGCTGTACAAAATCCAGTTTTTATACAATTTAGTCACACAGAAACATGAAGAGGAAGGAAAAGTGAACCTGCTTCACTTCATAGGTGGTTTTCATCTAGAAAACGGGACATGAAATTCAGCCCTACAAACCCAGGAAAGGAGTTTGGTTTTCCTTCTAATAAAAAGTAAAACTACTCTTGAATATTTCAAGGCTCACCAAACTTGCCATTTAATCTTTTTCTGCTTCTGCCTCCCTGGTTATTCTCATCTCTCCAGCTGCTAAGTCAGTCAATACATATTGTGGGAAACTCTCCCCTCATGATCAGTATTAACTAAGATCCAATACTGACAATATGAATTATTCATCACAAGGAATCTTGGCAAAAGCTGGGGATATTTGTGTTCCTTAGGGACAATTTAACCTCTCCAGATAAATATTTTAGTTCAACCAGCTGCCTTCTCTGGGCCTTCTTTCCCCAAGCTTCCTCCCCACATAAAGAGAATAAGCCAAAAACAACGTGTTGAGTCCCTGGTAGTATTCAAAGTGAGGATGGTACTTCAAAGAGTTGTCCATGAGCTGTCATTGACATTCAGCCATAACTTGTTATGTCGCCATAACTTGTGTATTGATAATATGGTTGCTTTTGCCCTCATAATTCAACCAGATCACTTTAAAAAGAGATTCCAGTAATCAGATTGACAGGTGCCAAACTCCTATCATCTCCATTTTAAGAATTCCTGTCTAGCGAGGTTCTAGCCTATAAGACAAGTTATGTGAATGAAAGAAAAAAAATTTTTTTTGCTTGCTTCTCTTTAGAATAAGAAGACCTACCTGGATATCATTCACACTTACATGGAAGTGCATGCAACTGTTTATGGTTCCAGCACAAAGAACATCCCTAGTTACGTGGAAAACCATGGTATCCTCAGTGGACGAGACCTGCAGTTTCTTCTGCGAGAAACCAAGGTAATTATAAAAGTTTAACATAGATGTGGAAGGGTTTTTTTTGTTTTGTTTTGTTTTGTACTAGAGATCAATGTGGAAGTTTTAAAAATGTGATCAGGGTCTTTCATGCTTTTTTTTTCCTGAAGGATGTAATAGCTTCTTAGGTTATGACTGGGCGGTGACTTGCTAGATCAGCTATCACTGATAAGTTAGTGATTATGGAAAGAGGTTGCTACAGATTTGTTTATTGGTTTAGTAAAAGGAAAAAGAAAGTGTTCGATTAAAAAATGTTTAAGAATCATATTTATGGAGCATCTTCTCTGTAATAGGCAGCAAGTCAGTATGGCTGCATATGGGAAGGGTGTGGCCCCTGCACGGTGATAGACTTTCTCATAGCTCCTTTCACAGTAGACTGGAGGTGCTGAGCTTTCACCAGTCACCCCTGTGTGGCCCAAGCCAGCTCTTCCTCGCACCTCCTCATTCAACACGCATGTACCACACACTGGAGTTCAGGTGAGGAAAAGCATCCCCACCAGCTCAAGGGGCAGGGACTGCATCATGAAAGATGTAGGAGATGGCTGGGGTGTGGATGCACTTGGTACTTGGGCCAGAATGGAATGATCAACACGCTGATGATGTTCAGGAAAAAACTAGAAGCTAACCCTTCTAGTCTGAGTGATGGAAAACAGTGTAAGATAAAATGTGATGTGGAGAAAAGAATCTGATTATTACAGGCGTAGGCAGAGCCCAGTCTCTGAGGTGTAGGTAGTTGAAGGACTTGAGGATTATTCTGCAGGGCATAGTGACATGGAGCATGTCCATACAATAGTCTGTGTCATTTCTTATAACCCCACCGTAAGTACCAAATGAAGTGAGGTACCTCATAACTAAGTCAGGCTTGAAGGAGTAGTTGGCACTTATTAATAAGTTTTTATTTATGAATTTTGCAATTATTTATTAAGTAGATGCTTTGGGCCAGGCATTGTATATGAGAAACAAGACTGAGTAAAGCACATAGATCTCTCCCTATTAAAACATAGAGACATTTACTGTCAACAGTGGACTTCTCAGCTGGGCTTGGTGGCACATTCCTATAATTCCAGCACTCAGGAGGCTGAGGCAAGAAGATTGCTGTAAGTTCAAGGCCAGCCTGAAGTACATAGCGAAACCCTGTCTCCCAAAAGAAAAAGAGAAAAAGTGAATTTCTCAGTCTGGTCTCTGCCTCAGTGCTCTCTGTTTTTATGTTTAAGGTGGGGAAGAGAAGTTCGGCAGATAGACTTCTGCAGCATAGCAGCAATTGCCAGTCCTATGCAATACTTGGCTTTTAGATGGTACATTCACATGCTTTGAGTCTCACACCAGCCTTAAGAGGTAGACTCAGCAAGTATTATTGTTAGCTCTCAAGTTGTTGGGCTTGGCCTTGGTAAACTAAGGTCAAGTTATGAAGGTGGCTCTAGCTCTAGATTTTTAAATTGCAAATTAAAGCTCTTCCAGACCCTTGTAATACAGTCCTCCTCAACACCCAAATTTAAGAACCCTTCGTAGGCACCAGCCAACCAAAAGAATACAGATCTCCTTTTGGCCTCAGTTTCTCCATCTCTCAGTACCTCCAAGTCATTTGTGTGGTGCCATGAATGAAATGGTTTTGAGAAATGCCTTGACTCTGTCCAACAACCTTGGTTTTAATTAAGATTTTTATTTCCTTCAAGGTCACTGTAGTCTTGCAACAATGACCTTCCAGAAGTGACATGTGTTCCAGATTTACCATCTTGTTTCCCATCAGCTTTTGTCCTGGGTTGACATTTTAAAATCATTAGTGTGTCCAGGCCCTTTAACAGCCACGTTGTTTTTTGCTATTTTCCTCATTTTACTTTTCTCCACATGAGGGTATGGGAAAAGTTCAAGCTCCTTTAAAATAACATTTGGCAGAGTTGGTTTTCAGCAGCGTGTCATTACTGTCTTGCACACTTCTATTAAGTCAGCCTCGTGAGTGTCTTGCTCAGCCTTGCACATTTTAAAACAACCCTTCCTTACTTACCTTCCATTTACCTGTCAGCAAATGGAAAATAGGCCAAAGCTGATGTCCCGGATGTCCAGAGGAAGACAAGGAGAGACCCAGTTAGACCTCGGCCCACAAAGCCAGAAACTAACCAAGGAATGCAGCTGAAGTTTTGAGCACAAAGGGCATATATTCATCCTTCAAAACTAGACACCCTTCTGAAGATGTCACTGATCCCATTACCTAGTGCCTGCTTATCTGACAAGCATATATTAAAGTACTCTGAGTGCAATTATGGTTCTGACACTCTGCAAATACAATGGGGCCAAGGTAGTGTATCACTGAGAACTCCCTACACCCAGAGCAAGGTAGCGGGCAGTGAAATGAATGAATCTTGGGATTTGGAATAATGACATGAAAGACCAGTCAGGCTTTGCATTTATAGCTGTTTCTGCTTCTGATTCCTTCCTCTTTGTCCCCAACAATTTAAAACCACTTTGTTCCAATCCACATTGGACGTGGGAGGAAATGAGAGCTGCCCAGGAGTAAACGTCTGTGGAATGAATGAGATTCACAGGCACCTTGGACTCATTACTGGAGAGAGAAGCAAGTGGGTCTCCTCGAAAGCTTTTGAGACATAGAGAGATGATAGATGTTTGATCAGCTTCAAACTCAATTATTTTTCTTTGAATCTCTGTACCAAGCTCAGGAAAACCTCTGCTCAGCAGAATTTTGTCCTAGCCTGCCATTATGGGCCCGGGTGTCTTTAACAGGCTTGCTTCAGGAAGCCTGCGGAGGCTGGAGTGTTGCACTGCAATCATGGCTAAATGAGCTGGGAAGTTGTTGGACTCTAGAAGACCCTTCTGCTAGGGAGATAAATTTGAATGGATGAATTGATTATGGAACCGCAGATAAGTCATTCAGTTCAGCAAAGTCCAGAAGTACAGTTGGAACCAGCAAACAGGACTCACCGGGGTGGCATGTTTTTATTTTTGGTTTAAATCTCCATCTCCTGTAATGTGGTTTCTTTCTTTGCCTTCCTAGTTGTACCCTCTTTGTGTCTCTATTGTCTACCTTCTCTTGGGAGGCTCCTTATCCTGTATGTCGTACTAAATAGGGCATTGTCATCCTACACAGGGATGGAAGGATGCTGGGGCTGTGATTTTATTTTTGAGCCAGATTGGGCACTTTCCTTTCTGCAGTCAGTGACAGATTCTGGCTGTTCTGTACCAGGGGAAGCTGCTTCTGTTACTCGGGCTGCGGCTGAACCCTTCTCTATCCATCATTCCCTTTTCCAAGACTCGGGTGGTGACGACCCTGGCTCCCAGCCATGTCACCTCATCTGGAGGCCTGAACCAACTTAGCAGATGTGCAATGTGTGCTGCCCATTTCATCCTGTATCCATGCCTGCCCCCACTGCAGACTCACCCAGTGAACCGTCATTTCCCACTGGGCTTGGGTGGGTTTTGAACCCTCAGAACAGGGCTTTGAGGTGGAACCAGACTCTCCACTGCTCCGTGTGTTTAGAGCAGCTTTGCTTTTCTGTTCACAGGTCTATTACCAGTGCCTGGAAAGCTGCCTACCTTGTAGAATATGTTTGGATATCGCCAATCTAAAAATCAGAAATGGTCTCAATTCCAAAGCTTTTTGAGTGCTGGTATAATGTCAAAATTTGAAAATTGTACAGCTGACCTTACATTTTGGGTCACAGTCAAAAACATCAGCATGCTGAAAATGTTGTATAAAATTACTTCAGTCTATGTTTCTAAGGCTATGTAAAACATAATTTTATGGTTGGATGTGGATCTCATCCCCAAGATACTTCACGTGTATACAAATACTAAGAAAATCTGAACCACTTCTGGTCCTGAGTATTTCAGAGCAGGGATTCCAACCTGTAATTGTATAAGGAATGAGGAAAGGAGCCCAGATGAAACCCACTGGCATCTGGGATCTTAGGACCATGCCTCTACTGGTGATTTCATCTTATTATCAGGAGTCATGCATCTAGATGGTTTAGATCTCCCAAGTAAAGGTTGCTGCACCCTGGGTACCTCATGTCTGCCTCCTTGGTGGTTCTCACATCTCCAGGCCCTGTGAGCGATAAAAAGCCCAAGAGCTCCACTGCTTAGAAGCAGTGTGCAGAGATCTGAGTCAGTAACCCTTCTGCTCACACACTGCTACACACAAATGTGGTCGCCTTCTCTAGAGCACACAGATTTTTGATTGCTAGAAAGATCTAATTTCTTAGTATTTATGCTTTTGCTCATTCATCCAGCAAATATGTATTAAGTCTCAGGTGTATGCCAGGCCTTATTGCACCCATTAAAAATAAAGGGAAGACTCGGGTAGCTTTGCCCACAGGGAGCATACAGATGAGCATAACATAAGGACGTTAACGCTTACACTGGAACAACTAGAAATAATACAAAATAACGATCCCAACCTAAAACCCTATCTTGGTGCTATGAGTGGAGCCTAAGATCCAGCAGTCATTCTGTGATGGTGAAGTCAGTGCAGTGGCCGGAGCGAGCCTCTGTGGAGGACAGGGCCAGTTGTCAGTCATGGCTTAACACATCCGCGTTATCAAATTGCACACGACTGTGGAGTTTACTATACTAACAGCCCCACATCCTGCCTAAGCCCTTTTATAAATTCTGTCTATGTCAGAAAATCCTATGGTCTTGATACCATGGTAACCCCATTTTTCTGAAGCCAAGACTGAGGTTTCAGTGGCAAATAAGTCTGTGTTGCCTCTGTTGGGAGCTGAGAAGTCTGCCTGGTATAAAGTGGAATGAGAACAGAATTGTCAGGGAAGGACCCTCTGGGAGGGACACGCTGGAACTGACTTCTAATGGTGAGCATTTGGGTCATCCAGGGTGAAGCTCTTTGACACGTTCAATTTTAAATTTATCCAAATATTCTTTTAGTCCCCCACCTTGAAGTTAATAAATTGACAATAAAAATTGTAATGCATTTGATTTACTTCTGCAACTTTCAGATAATGAAAATGCTGCAAAAGCTCGATCTTGATTGTGTTAGGGGTGTTTGCTCTAGTTTGGTGTGGTATGTTTCCGACAGGGCACTGGGGGTTAGTGGCATGAATAGTCACCAGTCTACGCAGCGAGCCGATCTCCAGGAAACAGTTCAGCAGCCAGCTTTGACCAACTTTGAGCCCCTAAGCACACTTGATAAGTGTTGTCATCTTTGCCTCCTTGGTCCTCCTGGCTTTTCACCAGTCACCCTCACGCAGCGTGAGTCAGAGGCTTGTGGAGTCTGGGAGAGGGCGCAGACAGCCGGAGTGGGAGAAAATGCAGCCCTTGTTCATCGCATCGTTTCATGTCAGGGGCCTGAGCAGAGACGGACTGCCAGAGAGGTATCCTTCAGGCTACTCAAGAGCATCATTCCTGAGGAAAATAAACTGTTTTCTGCATGTGGATTCTTCTTAAAGATAATAGCAATACCTGCTGACAGAAATTGAGTTATTCCTAGTGATCCTTGTATAAAGAGTAAACCAGTGAGGCTTAGGGGTAACATGTGGTTCATAGACTGCTCTTTCTATGTGGCAGTCTGGCCGAACCATGTAGTCTCTTTTCTGATAAATGTCTCTGTCTTTTTTAGTCCAGGTACTTTATGAAACCATGAGAATTTATAAATACACACACAGGGTGAGCATCTTGTAAAAGCCACACGTATGACTCCCACATACCAATCTAGGAATTTACCTGCTAAATGATACAAGGTCGTGAAGAACATGTGTGTGAAGTTGCCCTTGGATTTGAACTTGTTCAACTGTTCTTCTGATGTTTACTGAGGTCCAAGCCTTGGAATATTGGATATTTCTCATTTAGTCCCACAGAAACACCATGAAATAAAGCCTTATTGTTTTTCCTCATTTTACAGTCAAGAAGACTGAAATTTAGAGAACTTGTATTATCCTGGCTTGGGTCTCATTGCTAGAGAAAACATAAATAAACCTGAGAAAACACATAAACAGTCATTTTGCCATAGTTACTGAACTAGGAAATGATGACATCAAGACTTGAACCCTGGTCCTTCATGCTTCTAGTAGCCTCCTTGTCCTGATCACCTTGTGCCAGTAACCAGTTTCTTGGACAGCTGAGATTAATATGTCTGTGAAACTCCCTCCTGAACCATCCCACAGCTTGACTAATTAGTAATGATCAGAAGAGTGTATTTTAAATTTGGACTTGTCCTGTTTTGGATTGTTCTGATGTTCCCCATCAAAAGTGACAGAAAGTGGCCTAGGACTGTGGTGTGGAGAGCATGCCTAGTATTCATGAAGCTCCAGCTTCAGTCCCCACCACTGTAAGCAAAGCTGAAAGGTGACTGAAGCTAAAGCCCATGCAGAATTTGTAAAAGAACTACTTTGTCCATATTTAAAAGAACTTTTGCCAAGTGTTTCACATAGGGATTTATAAGAATTCTATTTCTTCTTTTACACAGAGAAAAAAATCTGAGTGTTACTGGTCTCTTTGTTCATGTGTCAGGATGTCCCAGTCCTGTGCCATGAATGAAACATACGGTGCTTCATCTGTTCTCTCTTGCTTAGCATTAGTTGAAATTTCAATTTTAGAACATGTAATCCCTCTGTTGAGAAACACTCATTGCTGGAGCCAGAATTGCCGCCATGGAGATGTTCTCTCACCTGGAACATTAGATTCTGGGCTTCTGAGGGCCAGGCAGAGGATAAATGAAGTAAATAAAAATATGGCAGGTTTTCTCCTGAGGAGCTGAGCTCTGGTGCTTGAGTGCACTGTCGTCATATTGTCTTGTAAATTTGTGCTAGGGATATCTGTAAGTAGGCAGAGAGACAGGACAAGGGGATTTGGGGATTTGGCTATCAGGGAGAAAGTGCTTTGGTTTGGTTAAAGTACCAGTGTGTGGCAAGGCTATTAGCATGCACAAGTTTACTGTTGAGGTGGGGAATTTGCCCTGCCTGCCCTGTTGTCGTTTAACCTTTAGCTGTGCTATTTGACCTCAGTGCACTGTTCCATTGTAAGTCACAGGTCATGAGTATACAAGAAGCAAGGAAAAATTGCTTATTGACACAAGTGAAAGAAAACTGTTATTTTGTTGTTTCCAAGTCATGCATTTCCTGCAGTCCTAATTAGTGTGACAAGAGAACTCATTGCCAAGAAATTGTGTGGTATTTGCTTAAGCGTCCTTATAAAATTGTGAGGCTTGGGAGAGTTAGCCCGAACTGTCTGTGTACTGAGATATTCTGGTGCCAGAGGGGCAGAGGAGTCGGTGCAAATTGTTATTCAGATATAACTAAACCTAGGTCACATTCAAGTCCATTAAGCAGCAGCCTCAAATATTTTTAATTAATGAGTTCAGATTGGTTGGACTTGAAGGAGCCAATTAAATTTTTCCCTAAGATTTTTCTATTGAAATAGACAAGCATTGTGCTTCTTCCATTTCCTCCAAAATTCTCTTGACAATTTAGAATTGATGAAAGTATTGGCTCTGCATGGTGGGTCTTTGCTTTCCATAGGTCAGGAAACTCTGTAGGCTCCAGATCTCTGCTAAATCCACAGAAGCCCAGGTTACATCTCCTAATACTTTTCTCTTTAGAGTCAAAAAGATCTGGATATTCCTATTCTGTGCCTAACCATAGCCTGATGGGGGGGGGGTTTTTTTCCCCTGGAAAGGTGACATGTCTTCCTTAAAAGCATGACAGGGACTATATATCATAGAAATCAGAAGCCATAGTGATGGTAACCTTGGATTCTTCATTCTGAGTAAAGCTGAAACGTCTTGGAAAATTATAGAGAGTGCTAGAAATATATGCAAATATTTAAATTTAAAAAATGTATTACAGTAAAAGACACATGGTCATTAATTCTCCTCAAAATACCACCCACACCCCCACACTTCCGACACACTTAGCCTATCATTCTTGCAACTTTCTGAAGGAATTCTGAAAGATTTCTTTTGTATGTTTACGAAGTGTCTGCTGCTGGCTATCATAAAGTGGAAAGGCAGGCTCATGGAAACATGGTGGTATCCTCATCCTCTTTGTCCAGTGGATCTGGCACCCTGATACTCAGGGTCTTCCCCGAGGTCAAAATGACCATGAAAGGCACATGCTTCAAATCAGTTCAGGACATTGAGGCAACTGCACGACAGAAGACCCCCACAAAAAAGGACCTCCAGAACTGCTTCAGAAAGTGGCAAGAACAGTAGTGTAAGTGTGTTCAGGGGAAGGTGGAGTATTTTGAGGGAGATTAATGGCAGTATTTTTCACCATAATAAATTCTCTTAAACATTCATCATATTGTTTGATCACACCGACTATGTGTCCCACATTTTCCTTTTTTGGGGGGCTGCCATCGCCTGGCCCACCTCTGAGCCACACCAGTACTCCTTGGTTCCCTCTGATGATCTCACTTCTCTTTGTAGTAAGACGAGGTCCACAGGAGCCTCCAAGTGGCACAGAGATGTCCCTCTATTCTTCTGCTGCTCCTGTCAGCACCTACTGCCAGGTTCTCCCTCAGCTCATGGCCACAGGAGCTCCGCAGGCCTCCCAAAGCTTCTCTCCTTTCCAGCTCCCTCTCCTATGGATGCATCTGCCTGGGTGATCTCAAGGTTTACAGGAAATGAAAGGTTGAATACTATTCCACTGAATACAAAGCAAGAGTTAATGGAATAGGAAGGCCCTCCAGAACACCTGAGATTTTGGTTTTTTTGCCCCAGAGTTTCATGAGGGGCTGTCATCTTCAAGCATGTGAAATATGTGCTGTGCAGTGCTGGCTTGATATTGTGTGTCCGACATGTACAGCCTGCATCTCCCAGTGTTGCCCAGGGAACCCAGGGCTCTCCAGCAGAAACTTCCTCAATAATCAGTAACTTAAAGCAGCTGCTAAGACAAGGAAGCTGTGGAGGGGGCTAGAGAAGAGGGAATCAGCACAACCACAGCCACAGCCACATCCAGTCCACAGCCTCCTTTGTTCCATGGAAGGCAGAAGGAAATGCTGTCCTGGGACCAGTTGACCTGTGTCACTTGATAGGCCTCTGTACACTGGCTCCCCCCAGCCCTGGCGAGTGACCTCCAGGCCTCCTTCAGTGCACAGTATTCCTGTACTGAGGAGCAACAGGAGCCAGGTGGGGGGGTATTTTCAGTCAGCAGCCCAGGAATCAGTGCTGCTGAACTGCCCAGGTAGGTCCCCTTTGTCACAGTGGCTCCCTACTGTGTGGTGCTCCTAGGACTGAGTGAGCGAGCTTTTGCTGCCATCTGTTGTCTGCCTTGGGGGAATGCGTGGTTTGCTTCCTAGAGAGGGAAGCTTGGCCTAACAGATTGAAGAGCTCAGCACCCTCCCTTAAACCCAGGGGAAAGTAAAAACGGGGACGTTAGTGTCCCCCAGTGCAAACCTGTTAGGAAAACCGTCATATTAAAGCAATTCTATTTGAACTGTAATCCAACCACCAAGTGACCTTTCTGCCCCTTTGCCCAGCGTCCCTGAAAGGGCCTGTTGTTCCTCTCCTTCAATGAAGAAACCTTCTGTTTAGTTTAGCAAGTGTTTTTCCAGTCATGTCTCCTGGGTGAGTCACAGAAAGATGATTGTTGGGTTTTGGTTTTTGTTGTTGTTGTTTAATACCCGACCTCCCAACCTCCTCACCGCCCCCAGTACTTAGCACTTCAGTGAGCCAAGCTGCTTTATATGGGCTTTAACAGTTCCTGGTGATGTGTCCCATCTTGGTATAAGTGCCTTCTCTTTGCCCTACCCTATCCCCAGGGCCTGGGACCTTTCCAGAATGTCTGAGGTATTCACAGGAATGGGCGCTGGTGAGCTGGGAGTGCCTGATAGATGTGCTGATATGGTATGTTTTTCTGTTTTAACAGCTATTTGTTGGACTTGGGTTTCCTTATGAAGGCCCAGCTCCCCTGGAGGCTATTGCAAATGGATGTGCTTTTCTGAATCCCAAGTTCAACCCACCCAAAAGCAGCAAAAACACAGACTTTTTCATTGGCAAGCCAACTTTAAGAGAGGTAAGTACATATCAAAATCACTCTACTTTCAATAAGAAGAATAAGAGGGGCTGGGGAGTAGTTTAGTGGTAGTATGCCCATCTAGCATGCACAAGAAAGACCCAGGCTAGGTTCTATCCCATGCCCTCCCAATCCCACGCACACATGCACAGAAAAAATAATAGCAATTAATGGAGTTTTAAGGTAGATAAAGTCAGCTGATCTATCCATCAGGGACTGGTAGGTTGGTATCCATCAGGGATTGGTTTCAGGATCCCCACAGATCCCACAATCTGTGGATGCTCAAGCTCCTTATATAATATGGCATTTGCGTTCAGCACACACATTTTCCCATATGCTTTATATGAATCATCCTAGTTTTCTTATACCTAATATATTGTAAATGCTATATAAATAGCAGTTGCATTGTTTAAATGGCAATGGCAAGGGGTAAAAAGCCCGTACCTGTTTGAGATAAATGCATTTCTTCACATATTTTCTTAGGGTGGATGGGGAACCTGTGGGTACAGAAAACCGGCTGTATTAACTGCATTTATCATGGTTGGGTAGGAAAGGAGGTTTTGGGAGGAGAGATGAATGACTTGATGACACCACCTCATTAGAAGCAGGGTTAGCATTTGAGTCTCCTTCTCTGTTCACAAATAAAGATCTTTTCAATCTATTCCCTACTGTATTTTAATGTGAACACAGGCATGCCAGCTTTCTGATTACAGCTATATTCTGAGTTGATGGAATGAGAAAATCAGCTGGGGGACTGTCCATCACGAGCTGTGGTGAATAAAGAGTAGACCATGGATGTTCTCAGAGAACATGAGCCTCAGGAGACAAGACATATCATGGTTGACTAAAGTAATGTGCCTGATGTTTTAGCCCACTGCCAGCAGGCACCATCCTGTGAACTACTCCTGCCATTGCTAAAACCATTTGCCTTGTTTGAATTGCCTTCTAAGATCCTCTTGAAAATCCACAGTGGGTAATGAATCATCATCCAGAATAGTTGGATTTGATTTGAGGCAGTAAACCAAAGTCATTCACAGTTAAGTATGAGTGATCAAGCTGGCTGCTTCTATATCTGGTCAGAAGCAAGTTTGTGCAAGAAACCATAAGATTGACTTTCTTATTATTTCTGTGTATTAGTAAGTGGCTCAGCAGGCTTCTCACAAACAGGGATGTGAAAGCACCATCCTGGTCATGCGGGACCTCCTACTAGCAATTACACTGATGGCCAATCCTCCTGTGACATAAGAACATGTATTTTTAAAGAATTCAGTTCTGCTGCTTTTATTGGATTTTACTATTTGCCTGAACTGGGACTCCAAGTAATACCTAAAGTGTGTTTTTAGTGATTATTCTTTATTGATGAATCAGAAATCTTGGCCAGTCCATAGAGTTGATGATTTTGAGAGTTCTCTAAGCCCTGCTATCCTTGATGCAGTGGCCAAAGTAGATGGAGGAAGATCCATGAGATCTCAGAAAGGTTAACCATGGCCCAGATACCTGCTGAAGGAAGTTAATTGTGTGTTTGCTTTCTTGTTTTTTCCTTCTGCTACTGTAATGACCTAAACCTTTCCTTTCAGGGAGTGGCTTTTTTGAGAGGTCAGTTCATTCACTAATTATTCAACAGTACTTACTTCACACCTGTGTACCTGGTACTGTGGGAGGTGCCAGGGAACAGAGATCCAGGAGCACAGCTTGACATCAACAAGCTTATTCTTTGGAAAGATTTAAAAGAAGTGAAAATGTCTCAATTTGAGAATCTTCATTTTAACATACAACTGGCTTCTTTGAAACTTACGAGTTTTGGGTAGAAAGTAGACTTCACTTACCACTAGATGTTTTTTGTCATTGTTGTTTTGTTTTACACAATAAAATCTGAATATTTAAGTTGTACAACTTGATGTTTGATATGCATTATGAAATGATCAGCCCAGTCAACATTATTAACATATCTATCACTTTACATAGGCCCTGTCTGCATTGTGGTGTGTGGTAGAAACACAAGGTCTGTCCTCTTGGCAAATTACAAATGTACAATACAGCATTGTTAATTCTAGTCACTATATTAAACAATAGATTTCTAGAACGTATTCATCCTGCATAACTGAAACTTTGTGCTTTTTGATAAACATATCCTCATTCACCACGTGTCCCAGCCTCTGCCAATCACCATTGTACTTTGCTTAATGAGTTCAACTATTTTAGATTCCACATACAAGTGAGATCATGCAGTATTCGTCTTTCAGTGTCTGACTTTTTGCATTCAGCGCAGCCTCCTCTGGGTTCATCCATGTTATTGAACATGGCACAATTTCATTCTTTTTTCAGGCTAAACTACACTCTATTTGGCACATATAAGCACACAGTTTTTTCATTCATCTATTGTGAGACTCTTGGGTTGATTCCACCTTCCTGGCTATAGCAAATGGTGCTGTAGCAAACACAGGAGTGCAGATACCTACGTCTTCAATATTCTGATTCCATCATTTTCCAATATAAAGTTTGATGCAATCCCATTTGCCTGTTTTTGCATCTATTGCCTATACATGTAGGATCATGTCCAAAACACGATTGCCCAAACTAGTGTTAAGAAGCTTTTTGCAGGGGCCAGGGATTTGGCTCAGTGGTTCCACTGCCTGCCTTGTAAGTGCAAGGTCCCAAGTTCGATCCCTAGTACCAAAAAAAAAAAAAAAAAAAAAGAAGAAGAAGCTTTTTTTTGGTTTTTCTCTCATAATTGTACTATTTTGAGTCTTAGGTTTAAATCTAATATACTTCAAGGTGATTTTTTTTTGTATGTGGTGTGAGATACAGATCTAATTTCATTCTTCTGCATGTGGATAACCAATTTTCCTAGCATTCTTTCAAAAAAAAAAAAAAAAAAGAAGAAGAAGAAGCTTTTTTTTGGTTTTTCTCTCATAATTGTACTATTTTGAGTCTTAGGTTTAAATCTAATATACTTCAAGGTGATTTTTTTTTGTATGTGGTGTGAGATACAGATCTAATTTCATTCTTCTGCATGTGGATAACCAATTTTCCTAGCATTCTTTATTGATAAGATTATCCCTCCCCATTATGTGTTCATGGCACCCTTTTGAAGAGCAGACAATTATAAATACATAGGTTTATTCCTGAACTTTATTTCATTGGTCCAGTATGTCTATTTATATTCCACTATTATCCATAGGTTTTAATGTAAAGCATAAGAAATCTCCGAAATTCTCTTTCTTCCCAAATTGTATATATTTGTGATTGTCCCACTTTTAAAATTTTTTTGTGATAAGATACACATGTAACACAAAACTTAATCATTTTAACCCTTCTTAAATATACAATTCACTGGCATTAAGTAAATTCACAGTGCTGTACAAGCACTACTGTTACTCATCTCTAGAGCTTATTCATCAACTTAATCAGAAACTCTGGAGCCATTAAATAATGACTCCCCATTCTTCTACCCTCCCCTGGTAACTTCTGTTCAGCTTTGTGTCTGTATGAATTGCTCATTTTAGGTGCTTTATCTAAGTGAAATGGTATAGTTTTTGTTCTTTTGTGTTTGGCATATTTGCTTAGCATGGTGTTTTTAAGGTTTGTCCCTGAGGCAGCATGCAACAGAAACTTTCTGTTTTTAGAGCTAAATATTCTGTTGTATGACTACGTTTCCATTCATCTCTTGATGGACCTGTAGGGAGTTGTGCATACCTTTTGCCTTTTGTGAATAATGCTACTGTGACTATCTGCTTCCAGTTCTTTAGGGTGTATACCTACAGCTGGAATTGTTAGATTTTACTTTTGATTTATTTTAAAATACTTGTAGTGATACAGAAAAGTTGCAAAAAATAATAGAGTTTTATCTAGCTTACCCCAGTGGTAACATTTTACAGAGCCCTGCTACAGTAATTAAAACCCAGAAGTTCACATTGACACCCTTGTATTCTCTAAACTACAGACTTTATTTGTACTTCACCAGTTTTCCCACAAGATTCTTTTTCTATTCCCAGAACCAAATCAGAATCCCACATTGTACTTAATTGTTTTGTCTCTTTTGATCTTTTGCAATCCTTAATTAGAAAAAATTAGTCTTTTATTACCACTCATGAGCCATAGTACTTTTAAAGAATACAGGCCAGTTTTCCTATCACTGAATATTTCCTGGAAAACACTGGTGATCTTCTTAAACACCATCTAGCCCTTGCCCTGTGCATGATGTAATACCACATAACTCAGATCGGAAAAGTATGTGTGCTCATCATTTTCTGTCAGTAATTTGCTTTTCACTGAGGTCACGGAGGGTTTTTATTCATCGTGGCATAAAGAGAGAGGAGACATTGGAGCTGCTGAGCAGGGTAACTCTAAATGAGACTCCCGTAGAAAGACAGTGTGGGATCCTTTCAACAGTTGCTTAGCGAGTGACCTCACAGAGATAGCTCCATCAGTCCCAAGCTCCCACAGGAGAGCGTAGAAGCAGAAGGGCAATTGACAGGTGTTTAATGTATCCCCTCAGGGCCCGTGGCATTAGTTGTTGCTTTGGGTGAATTTAGCAGAGCATATTTCTTGCTTTCCAGGAGCTCCAAATCTGATACGAAAGGATGGTAAGAAAGCTGCACCTCAGTGGACAGGTGTAAAGAAACAGCTAACTGGATAAAGGAAGAGAGTTAACTTGGAGTTGTGCCGGGTGAAGGGGGATGTGCAGAATTAGCTGAACAGGAGAGGGGATTTTGAGTCTCTTTGGAAAGACCTAAATGTTGTAAAGTGGGGAGAAGCCACGAAGGTCATTTTGACTCATGTACGAAGGAGGGTTCATCTATGTGCGGCTCCTTGCATCAACATCAGGCAGCTCTGAGAGGGATCGGTGACTTTGATCTCATGGCCAAGTGGGCCATATGCTCTTCCCTGCTGCTTTACTAAAGCATCCAGATTCCCATAACCAAAGATTCTTTTAATTGGGAAAAAGCTGTAAATAGATGTACAGATTTCTGAGGGTCAGTAAACCTTAGAAATTATGT